AACCAGGAATCGAACCCCGATCGCCTGGATCCCAGGTCGACGCTCAACCGCTGAGCCACGCCCAGCTGGGCCAGATGATTTTTAACAAATGTGCAAAGGCAATTGAGTGGAAAATGGTATAGTGTTTTTCACAAATGGTGGTGTAACAATTGGATAGGAACATATTAAATGTTTTTCAGTGTTTATGTTGCACTGTATAAAAAATTAACCAAATGTATTAGAATTAAATTTAAATATAAACTGTAAAACTTCTAGGTGCAACCATAGGACAAATCTTTGTGAATTGGGTTTAGGTAAAGATTTCATAGTTGTAACACCACAAGAGCATGATTCATAAAAGAAGAAATTGATAAATTATACTTCATCAAAATTAATTCTGCTTTTAGAAAGAAACTCTTAAGACATTGAAAAAAACAAGCCACTCAATGGGAGGAGTTTATCCAGAAAGTAAATAAATATAAATATTTAATCCTGTGTGTGTCTATTTTGCAAATCTCATATATACAAAATTACTTTTATTGTAGTTAAGAGCTCTAAAAACTCAGTAAGAAAACAGTTCAATAAAACATTGGCAAAAGAATCTGCAACATCATGGATGGATCTAGAAGATAATAAGTCAGAAAAAGACAAATGCCAGGTGATTTCACTTATATGTAGAATTGGAAAAAATAAAATGAATGAACAAGCAGAATAGAACAGACTCATAGATACAGAGAACATTTTGAAGGTTTCCAGATGGGAGGGAGGTTGGGTGGATGGGTGGAAAATCTGAAGGGATTTAGAAGTACAAATTGGTAGTTACCAAATAGTCATGGGAATATAAAGTACAGCATAGGGAATATAGTCAACAGTATCGTAATAACTATAAATGGTGTCAGATGGGCACTAGGTTTATCCGGGTGATCACTTCGTAACTTATATAAATGTCTAGTCATGGGGTTGTGCACCTGAAACTAATATAGTATTGTATGTCAACTGTAATTTAAAAATAATTTTTTTTAAAATTAGCAAAAAAATTGAACACTCATTTTACTAAGGAAGACATATGGATAATAAATAGACACATGAAAGGATGTTCAACACCATTAATCATTACGGGAATATAGGTTAAAACCATAGTGAGGTAGCTATTAGAATTTTGAAATTAAAAGACTGACTATATACTAAGTCATGACTAAGATGTGGAGCAACTAGAACTCTCATACACTGCTGGTAGGAATGAAAAACCACTTTGGAAACAGTTGGGTAATTTCTTTAAAAGTTAAACATAATATTTACCATATGACTCAGCCATTCCAACCCTAGCTATTTACCCAAGAGATATGGAAACACATTATTTATAACAAGTGTTTTACCTAAATGTTTATAGTATTTTTTTATAATAGCCAAAAAACTGGAAATAATTTGAATATTTGTCAACAGGTAAATGCATAGACTTTACAGTGTATCCTTACAGTGAAATACTACCCAGCAATAAGTAGGAATGAAAACCGATATACACACAACATGGGTGAATTTCAAAGTAATTATACTGAATTTAAAAGCCAGACACAAAAGAGTCCCTATCATATGATTCCATCTATATGATATACTGGGAAATGCAAGGTAATGTATAATAATAGAAAGCAGATCAGTGTTTGCCTGGAGACTGGGAAGTGGGGTGGAGGCATGGACGGGCTTGGGGGAATTAAAGAGGGACACATGGCGAATTAGAGTAACGGATGTGTCATTATCTTAGCAGTCGTGATGCTTCATGGCTGTAGGAGTATGTCAAAGCCCATCAAACTGTATACTTTAAGTGTGCAATTTATTGTTCCATTATACCTCAATAAAGCTCTGAAAAAATGTAAGATAGAAATAACACGCATTTGGCATACTGTAGACATTTACTAAATAGTAATTTCTTTATTATTTTTATCTCTCTCATTATACTTTTAGATTCTTGAAACCAGAAGCTATGTCTGTTTATCTTTTTATCCTCAACTTGTAGCATGGTACCTTGTACATAAGAGGTGGTTCATATAACTTTTGAACAAATGAAAGTAATGAATTTTGAACAACTGAATGTAAAGACAGGACTCTGTGAGAACCTCATTAGTACTCTAGTACCATTTGTCTACAAGATGTGAAATACTGAATCTATATATTCTCTTCAATAGGATGTTTCAATAACCGATTTCCTATAAGTAGATGAATCTAACAGTATATTTTTTATTTCCATAGTTGGAGTTGATCCCTATATTTTCCAAATATAATTTAGCAAGTTATAGTTGTATAGGCAAATGTATTTAGAATGGAATTATATTTCATTTAATGAGACAAATTTATTATTTTGGACAGATTTTTCTTTTGAACAGAATCAAAAATCTGTCCTTATGCATTTATATCTGTGAAATTAATTGCTTTGACTTCATGAATATTCTAGTGATTTAGTTAGAAGGATCCTGAGATTTAGAGTCAGGGAATCTTGATTTCAGTCTGTCATTTACTAGTAGAGGCAAGTTACTAAACTGCTCTTATTTCCCAATTTTCTTTATCTTTGAAATCTGAACCCTATAATATAGATGGTTAGAGGACTTAATGAAAATATAAATATGTCTTAACAGGTGACTTATCATAAGCATCAACCATCAGGAATCTCTCCTTAGGAATGGTAATTACCATATTTTCAAGACAGTCCAGGTTATGAGTAGTAGAGAGAGGGGACTGCTGTGGAGGGAGATTTTGTGGGGTAGGAGACTTTAACAATAATGTTAATATTTTATTAGATGTGAGCACTCATTTTGTATATTGTTCTATGTCTTCAATATTTCTTAATTGTTAAAAATAATCTTTCCCTATGAAATACATAAAACTCTCCTGTGACATATGTTAACCAATAAAGTGTCTGTCATTTTTCTGTCAAAGAACAGTACTTACTAGGACACTCTGAAATGTATTCTTCACAGTTCTCAGCTTGCTTGGGGCCTGCTTATAAGAGTATCATGTCCATCTTGCCGTTATGTTACATTGCACAAAGTATCACATTTCAATTGTGTGTATTAAGTAGATGCAGAGGTCACAGACTGTCGTGGGATTGAATTTATCTCGTAGAAGTAGTGTTTGTTCCACACAGTGTTGGTCTTCATGGTGACTTAAAGTCTCATGAAAAATCAAGAAATGTTGTCACCCTGGACTTGCATCTCTGCGTGACAACAGTGAGTTCGTGCTGAGTATCAGCTGCTTCCTTTGCCTGGACCATGTGCTCAGAATTCTCCACACTCTCCAGGCTCCCTGACACTGACACAAACTTCATTTGCCTATTATCATCATAAATGCTTAAATTAACTGTTTGGCCCCTATAGGCAGTTTAGTTTCTAACTGTTAGAGATATTATATTCAGTACATGTCACAGTCTTCTATTGATATTTTGCTGTTATATTTTAATTTGATGTCACATATTTTCAATACTTTATAAAGCACACTTAGATTTTCTCTACAAACATATGACATAAAGTACTCTGTCAACTCCTCCTCTCATATCCAAACATGTTACCAATTAAATATTTCTCAAATCTAGTTCTTCCTGTCCAACCTTACTGCGCTGCTCCACCTCAGGCCCTCATGATTTCTGGCCTGGAATTCTTTAATTGCTCCCTAACTGTTCTCCTGGCCTCCAGTCACATTCCTTTCAACTTATCCTCAAGTGTATTGCTAGAATGATATGTCATAATACAGATCTCATCTTACCACCCTGCTATTTCAAAATCTCCTACATCTTCCCATCTCCTATGGCACAGGTCAGCAAACATTTCCTTACAGGTCCAGGTGCTAAGTATTTTAGGCTTTGCCGGCATAAGTTTCCTGCCACAAATATCGACTCTGCTATTGTTGAGTTGAGCACAAAAGCAACCATAGACAACATATAAACAAATGACAGGGCTGTGTTCCAATAAAACTTACTTAGAAAGCCAGCCCCTGGTCTAGGGTTACAGTTTGTTAACCCCTGTTCTATGATACAAAAAGCACTCCCTGTCTTCCCTCCCATCTCATCTGCAACTCTCCCATCCCGTTTCCTGCAGTTTCAAAAGCACCATTCAAATTCTTAAACTTCTCTGAGCACAACATCTTTCTATATCCAGTTATTTCATTCTTTTCATTTAAACTTTTTTCATAAATAGCGAAATATTCTAATATATTTTGTAAAATGTTAATTCTCAAATGATGGTCTCATATGTAAACATAAGGTTGCTTAGCCACTTGCTGACATCTTTTTAAATGTATTGTGAAGTCATATTAAAAGTCATATTAAAAGCAATTTTTAACAAGTCTTTCATGAAAATCATAGCCTTGATGTGATCCATGTTATAGTTTGAATACTAATAACACATTCTCCAAAAATCTCAGAATAAGGTGGTAGGAAACTAGTTCTGTTTCATCCTTACAACTGTATTGAATCAAGTTTATTGAGAGGACAATTTTAGGATAGTAGGACTTGAAAGAGCGAACTCATGTTGTGTCCTATCTTCATCACAATTGTTCTTTTCCAATACGGTTAAGAAAACAGAAAATATTTGGTTTTAGGATGTGACTTGCCTAAAGTATTGGACTTCAAGTTGCTATTTAAATTCTAATAGGTCACACTTCACATGTTTCCATAAGCTAAGAAACAGCACATCTTGAGAATATGTTGTTAAATCTGTGGGTTTGCCTCCTTATTAAGTTTTGGTTCTTTAGGCTATTGCTGATTGGTACAGTGTTGGGTAATAAACAAAACCTTTTCCAGTAAAAAAGTGAAAAAACTTAATCCTTGCATCATATTAATGAAAAGTATTATTCTGTTACTAAGGTGAGAGAGCAGATTGGGTATAGCTTGTGTGATAGGATTTTGTTAAAATATGGATGGATGTTGATTATTATAAAGTTTTCTAAAATTTTCTGATATTCACATAACAATACATTAATTTAAAGCTCCATCTTTTAAAACTGACCTGTAAATGTCTTTTATGGTTGATTTTTAGACACCAGCTGAACAGGCCAAAGCCAGACTACAACTGGTTCTTGAAGCTGCTGGTAAGTATTGATAATTAACTTTATTTAAATGAAAAGCTTGAAATAAATCCTAGCATGCTTACAGGTGAGTCAAAAAGAAAAACACCTATTTTCATGTATCCTCACAAATTTATGAGATCTAGGTTGTATGTATGGCTGTACATACATAGAGCCCAGGTTGTGGACTCTATCCCCAGTTGGGGGCATGTAGGAGGCAGCCGATCAATGACTCTCTATCATTGATGTTTCTATCTCTCTCTCTCCCTCTCCTTTCCTCTCCTCTCTATGAAGTCAATAAAGATATATTTTAAAAAAATAAAAATAAAAGCACTTCTGTTTTATGCAGTAGCCTATTCATTTTATCTTTAGTTATGTAGAAAACATGATACATTACTATTTTGCTTGCTATAGTGTCTTATCCTATAGTAATAGGATAAAGCTAGTTAGTGTGATCTTATCATTTACATAGTACATATTCATTCTTTAGTGGCATTTTGCTTTGATAAATATTTTTTATTTATAATTTGAGTATTGACAAACCCTTGCTTTAGTGGAAAATATTTGTGGTGCTTAGTCCAGAAAATACTTTTCTATCAATACAACTATAAAGAATTTCATTTCATAGTTTATACAGTTTTCTTTTATTTCTTGATCTTTTGATATGATTTTGAAGCATATTATAAAACCAATCTGACAGTCCAAACCTCACAGTGTATAACTTGTTTATATCAATCCCAGCTGTCACTCCTTATTTTTTTAAATTTAACATTGTAAATTCTGTTAAGGATAAAAAGCTAGGTTCTGTGTATTTGAGAAACTTTCAAAATATTATGACAGTTTTCAAATTTAAAAACATACATTGGCCTGGATAAGCAAAGGACAGACCTTAGCGAGATGTAACGTTTTTTATTAATTTCTCCAGTTTTTCAATAACACTGTGATCTGCATCCTGTTTACAAATTGTGTTTTCCCTTTTTTAGATTATTTTCTTGGGATTGGTTATATAGAAATGAGTTTATGAGGTTAGAGGATATTAATCTTTAGACCAACTTTTTATACATTTTTGCTAAATTGTTTTACAAAAGAACTGTGCTACTTTTCATTGCCACAGTTAAGTAACCATTTTTACCAGACTTTGCTTTTTGATGCCAGTTCCATGAATATATTGCTTCATAAAATGATAGAATGTGTTATACCCCTTTGAAAAATATCCAGTGCTGTTTTTAATGAGAACGGTGGCCTGGAAAGGGGAAGCAGTGGATGAATAGGGGAAGAGCAGATAAGCAAATATAGAGCTTGTTGTCCAAGTGCCAGATCTCTGTTTCAGTGAGGAATTCAAGGTGTTCGTTGTATTATTAAAAGTAAACAAATAAAATTAAGAGGGAGGAATAAAAGAAATTGAGCTCAGTCTGGTGAAGCTTGCAGTTCAAGTCTCACCTAGTCCTAAGATTGAGGTGGGTGGATAGGAAGGTCTGGTATTGCCTGTTCTATCACATTGGAGTTTACTTGAGTTTCCAGGGAAAACATTTTCAACTTTGGGCCTTTAAAATTGGGTACAGGGAAGGACAAGGCTGTATGCTGGATTCTTGAGACAGGGTTTATTTAGCCTTATAATTGCTATAATCTGGTTGATAGGGTTTATATATAGAAACTTGCTGACTAGACTTAGTCTTTTACTCTAACTTTGGGTCCAGAAGAAAGTTTTATATATAACCATTGCATTGTTACTGATTTATTAGTGAATGTTAGTAATATTACTGAGTTGGAAATAAAATGTATTTAGAACATTTGGCAATGATTATTAGTGGTGTGATTTTGAAAGAGTAAAATAACATTAAGCAAAATATAACTGTAGGGTGTAATGCAGATTGTACCAAACATTAATTTGAAATCAGATATTATTGTATTTATAATTATATTTTATATGCACTGAACTGTTACATTTTTATACTTTACTATGCTAAATCTTCAGATTTAGATAGACTCTTTTTTCAGATTAATTGCCAAATTTCAACAGAAATCCAATTTTATCTCTCTTGCTTAACAGTTAAGGTTATATCTAATGTTGCTTTTTAAATCTTCAAATGGCAATAGGACACAGAAGGTTATGAAATTGTATAAATTTTTAAAATTGAATCTAAGTTGTAACTTCAGCTAATGATTTATTCTTTGATACTGAGTAAATCCAATTACAAACTGTTTCTGCCATGATTTTTACCCTTTTTAAAAATACTTTTATCATTCTCATATTTAAGATTCAAAACCTTGACAATTTTTAACTGCTGTATAGTCAGTCATTCACATAGAATTAATCACTTTTATTTTGAGTATTTTTTATATTTATCCCTTTATTATCTTCCCACTGCCATCTCCTTAGTCTATACTAAGGCCAAACATTTCACCCCAAGACTAATCCCTTAGCTCCTAATTGGCCTCTTGCTTCAGTTCTCCAGAGAGATGGCAGTGAAGAGCGGAAGAGCTCTCAGTCTGCTTCCTACTCATTCTGTGACCTTGAGCAGTTTGGTCAGCCAAAGGGATTTCTTAAATGGAGTAGGGCACATCTGTATATTTCCTAGTTTACTATGGTTCTCTATTTTTAAAAAGTAATTTATTGAGGTGAAATTTACATAATATAAAACTAATAATAATTATTTAAAGTGAACAATTATATACATATTTTTATGTATGTATTTAAAGTGACATTAAATACATTTGCAATGCTTTATAATACCTACCACCTCGATCTAGTTCTAAAACATCTGCATTGCTCCAAAGTACAACCTCTTACTATTAAGCAGTTTTCTCTCCACTCCCCTTACCCCCAGCTCCTGGCGACCACCAGTTGGCCCTCTTTCTCTATTAATTTATCAGTTCTGCCCGGCCGGGCATGGCTCAGCAGTTGAGCATCGACCTAGGATCCAGGCAATCGGGGTTCAATTCCTGGTCAGGGCACATGCCTGGGTTGCAGGCTCGATCATCATTGATGTTTCTATTAATTTATCAATTCTGGATATTTTATATAAATGAAATCATGCAACCTATGGCCTTGTGTGTTTGGCTTCTTTCACTTAACATAATGTTTTGGAGGTACAGCCATGTTGTAGCTTTTGTCAGTATTTTATTTCTATTGAAGGCTGAATAATACTCCATTGCATGTATATACACCATTTGTTTATTCTTTATATATTGATGGAAATTTGGATCAGTTCCACCTTTTGGCTATTGTGAATAGTGTTGCTGTGAACATGCATATGCATGTACTCTTTTGAGTACCTGTTTGTATTTGGGGTAGGGATATGCCTAGGAGTGTCATTGTGAGATCATTTGGTAACTCTGTGTTTAACTTTTTGAGAAACCACCAAAGTTCTCCACAGCAGCTGAACCACATTACTTCCTCACCAGCAATGTATGAGTTCAGTCTCCTAATGTCTCAAGTTGACCATGTCACACATTTAAGGTAACTGTTTGAAAGTATTTAGGATTAGGGGCTTCTCTGTTCCATAATACCCTCATCTGTAAAGGGAAAGATAATAACTACCTCACAGGGTTGTTGTGAAGATAAATATAATATTATAATATGTGAAGTGCTTAGTCCAAGCTTGGCAAAATGGTAGCCACCAGAAAATGTTTATTTTATATTGCTTTTTGTGAATACCACTGCTAGATGATGCTTTCTTAGCCACCTTTTGGTCATGCTACCCCTTTGCTCAAAATTATTTACTGGCTCTCAATTGCTTACACAATCAGTTTTACATTTCTATGCTTAAGGTTCCAAGGATCCACACACTTAACTATCTTTATTTCTTAGAATTCATTTCTGTACTTTTTCTCATTGTTCTTTGAGTTAGTTACTCATGTTCTTTTCTGCCTGGGACTCTTTGCTCAGGATTTTACCCCTTCTAAAAGTATCTTCCTTTTTACTCTCCCCCTCTTTAAACACTCAAGATGCATCTCAGATAAAATGTCCACATGATTTCCCTGACCATTTCAGCACGTGCTGCTTCTCTCCTTCTTTGAATTCTTTTTTTCCTTGCCTGTTCACAGCATTTATGCTGATCTTTATTCCCATACTACTGATATTGTTTCATGAATGCTGGACTTATTTTCCCAATGAAATTATAAACTTCTTAAGGTTAGGAACCATATCTTAAACTTCTAAATCTTTCCCAGCAGTTTTAATAGCACCTGTAGTGAGTGGTACTTACTGTACCAAGTAGAAGTCCAGCTATTAATCTTTGGTGAATAAGTCATTGGGGGAAAACAAATGGTTTGGATAATTGAACATTAAACCTTTAAATGCTAGTGTGCTCATTTTAACTACAGTTTGATGGATTTTCAAGTAAGAGTACGAAAAAGTTTTCTGGCTTCAAACATAAAATATACATGACAGTAATCTGGCTTTTTAATCTTAAAGTTTAAGGTAGTGAGTGACAGAAAAGATAATAAAACATGATGATCATGGAGGAAGGAGAAGGAATAATAAGGCTACTTAAAGACTTATCTCTGTCACTTTTCCTCTTACTCATGTTTGACTTTTTAGCACCTTTCCAAACATTATTTTGGTTTTCCACAAAAACACAATATTATCTTATGCCAAGTATGTTCATGGGTTAGAAGAAGAATTTAGAAGGGAGACTTGTCTGGAACATAAATACTTTTTATTAGCGTGAAAAGATGACGCTTTTCACAAGATATAATTGTCTTTAAATTCTCCTTAATGTTTTACTTTTAATAAAATTACTGACACATGCAACCTTTAAAATTATATCTCTAGTGTTATAAGAAAAAAATAGAAATTTTTTAGTGCATGTATGGTAAATCACCTTTATCATAAAACCTCTGTAATATTTCAGTTTCTGAATTATGTCTATAGCCCTTTGTATTGTGCTTTATAGTTTTCAAAGCACTTGCATAAATCTTTTATCATTCGACTCACATCACTGCGTGGAGAGCTAATTAGCTTCATTTTACAAATATCCTGAAAGTGTAAATGACTTGTAAAAGATCACATACCTAATAAG